TGTAATTTGGACGATTATAAACGGGGACCAACTTAGCTTTTACTCCAAAGTCATTGTTTAATCATAGAGAATAACACAGTCCATACTATTTTTTCAAGATACATACAGTGCTGCAGTGATAGTCTCCTGGTCTGTATTCAAATATTTTTGAAAGGTTGCGCCCTCCAGCGACGAAGCAGTCCAGTGATGTCATAGTGAGATACGAGGAGATGTTTATAAACAATGTCGTTCAAACAGATAACTATGTTTGGTTGTGTTGTCGTTCGTCGTGTAGAATATAGCACAACTCTAATAACAGCATTTGTAATTGACCAACGACCACATGTTTAAACAAAAAACACGCTGTAGATGGTCCTGCTGTTACCCGCTTACGTCACAAAAGTGCTTCGTCACTACAGAACGAGACTTATAAATTCTCATATTTATATAAAAACGGTAACTAATAAGATTGTATCTAAATAGTTTTTCTACATATCAAGAACATCATAATAATATTTAAAAAATAAGGATTGTTTCCGCTGTAACACCGACTCTATAGTTTTTCCACAGCGTTGCGCCAAACTTCGAAACTAATGTTTTCTTCAAGTTGATTTCCCCAAATCGGCCATTAAGGTAGATAAAGGTAGATAGAATTTTGACAAAATTGGTTCTAAATTGCATGACAATGTTTAATAGTTTATTATGTACAATCATGAAGCTAATGTCCTATGGTACAATGTCATATCATTATTGTGTGTGTTACAGTTAAGCTTATTGAGAAACGTGTCCTAATATTTCTTGAAAATCGCTTTTTAGAACATTTCCATAGAACACAATGTTAAAGAAAAATGGCAGTTTTTGACACTTTTTAAAACCCAGATTTTTGAAATAATTCAGGACAACAAAAAGTACTCTATCATTAACAATATATAATTTTTTCAGCATATGTCACCAGGTTAGATTTTGAGATATTGAATAATATCTCCGTCATAGGAACCTATGGTAAAAGAATTATAATAGTGTCAAAATGGCGATTTTCCACTAAAATACAACCATCAATTTCTAGAAAAAAAGGCTGCTGACCCCCAAGTCAATATTCTTATATTGCCTTGGAGTACAATTTATTGTAAAATGAATAAATTCTGGGTATTTTCATTTATGAGTAGGCACAAACTAACAAAATGTGATTTTAGAACTGTAGTTGATGCGTTTCGGTAACGACGTCATTGTAAAGGCGAGTCTCTAACCATGAAACTGCATCCATTCATTCAATCGAGTTGTTTGTCTACGCCACAAACTATGCGTATAAATTAAAAATATATTACAGTCGTTTTCCACAGTCCCTCAAGGACTGTGCGTTTTCCAACGATATGAAGCGGTGCAGTTTTGTCTCGTAAACAAAGCACCGAGCAGAGACGTTCAAGTTCGCATGCCATTAATGGCTGTCTCTCTATTGTCGGATGTAAACTTGATCTTAAAGAGACGGAAAACCAAAACTAAATATTAAATAAACTACTCTTTTTGCATATTAACTGTAAGAATCCTCAGAAATGTAAGAGAATCAGACATACAGTGCACATGAGGGAATTCAAACATCAAGTTATCTGATCCTTCCATGATCTCGTATGTGAACAGCGCCATCAGCGTTCAACTGTTGAATACTATTGTTTCGATCTCGCTATCATGATTGTTAAAGCAATGATAACAAACAGAAAAATCGCCACTATAAACGACATCCATGATAAAATACGGGCATTATTTGCGGATTTTTTAGCACCAATCAAATCGCCCCGTGCTGAGCATCTGTAAACCTAGGGATAAAACAGAACAAGAGATTGATCAACAATGACAGGACAGTGTGGGCGTAGGGAGGGCAACACAGCCGACGCTGATTTGCGTAAGAAGGACAGTGTGTGGGCGTAGGGAGGGCAACACAGCCGACGCTGATTTGCGTGAGAAGGACAGTGTGGGCGTAGGAAGGGCAACACAGCCGACGCTGATTTGCGTAAGCAGGACAGTATGGGCGTAGGGAGGGCAACACAGCCGACGCTGCTTTGCGTAAGAAGGACAGTGTGGGCGTAAGGAGGGCAACACAGCCGACGGTGACTTGCGTAAGAAGGACAGTGTGGGCGTAGGGAGGGCAACACAGCCGACGCTGATTTGCGTAAGAAGGACAGTGTGGGCGTAGGGAGGACAACACAGCCGACGCTGATTTGCGTAAGAAGGACAGTGTGGACGTAGGGAGGGCAACACAGCCGACGCTGATTTGCGTAAGAAGGACAGTGTGGGCGTAGGGAGGGCAACACAGCCGACGCTGATTTGCGTAAGAAGGACAGTGTGGGCGTAGGGAGGGCAACACAGCCGACGCTGATTTGCGTAAGAAGGACAGTGTGGACGTAGGGAGGGCAACACAACCGACGGTGATTTGCGTAAGAATGTAACGCAGTAGATGAAGCTGGGAGTACGATTCACATTGCCAGTGTAAGTGAAACCAATTTCAAAATTGGTTGTCCCAGGTGTTTCTCGCATAGGGATCATGTGAGACGAAGTACTTCCGGTTCTAGCCAGTTAAACACAACTACATATTTCGTCCACGAAGTGGAAGTATCAGAAGGCTGCTTAAGTTTGAAGAGCTTCCCGTGAAAAGATTTGTTTGCGACAATAGTGTTTCTAGGTGTTTCAAACGGCGAAATCATAACTTATTCTGAAAGTGGCGTCACGGTTTATTATGTGTTTTACCTGAGTTTTCAAGTTAAATACTACCTACTACCGTTTAAACCAATGCATGTTACCACCAATATTTTGGGAGCTATTTGAATGACAGAAACAAATTTCAGAAATCTCGATAAATTTCAGAAATCTCGATAAATTTCAGAAATCTCGATAATTTTCAGAAATCATCGCTGATTGTTTACAATTATTAAATAAAAAAATTCAAAAGGACGAACAGCACGAGATTCAATATATCGACCGATCAAATAGTATTATGTTCGTAAGTTGAAGTTTAGCTTATTCGTAAGTTTATTCGAAATCAAATGTCAGATTACAGAATAAATAAAATGCCATATTACTTACTTGTCTTGAGTTCCAAAGTGCGAATATACCGATTGGAAAGAAGCCAAAAACCGTGGAGAGCGTGGAGAAGAGAAAATAATCATACGGGATGGCTGGTAAGATCAGCGGTTCGCCAATAATACTCTAATCAAAATAAACAGAATCACATAAACATATATTTGTTGCTGAATATTTTCTTATTGTTTTATGAAAACCTACATTCCACCCGTAATGATAATTACCATAAACATATAAATCAAATGACTGCAATTCTCGCACATTACTAATGAATCGTATAATTAGTATGGCAATGAGATAGATAACTGTCTTAAACTACGCTTTCCATCATTCCGTAACATAGAACCACTCAAATTTAAGTTTGACAGGCAACGTAATAGAATAGAATAGAATAGAATAGAATAGAATAGAATTTACCTGCTGTGAGGAGGGACCCTTTACTGTGGTCGTGAACGGGTTATCAAAATATGAAAGGTTTACTGATTCATTGGTGTGGCTCTTTTCCTCCGAAACAAGCAAATCTGCATAATAAATAAAACATCCATACAAGGTATGATAATCGTTGTTTCACCGAATAAGCGAACTCTGACCTTTCAAAGACCGGAATCGTGAGCACAATATATGACATCTGTGGGTCATCAATTAAAACAAATCATCGAAATGATTTGAATCTACCAGCATCATCCTTTGCTATGATATGGGTCAGCAGTTGTCATTAACGTTGTTAAAACAAAGGTTGTCTACATACATATGATACTCGTAACATATGTCACAGGCAATTAAGTATACTACACGTTTAGCTGCGCGTGGGCCGTCGACGGACCCTAGGGGTTATACTGTGTAAATGCGAAGTGCTGTGCTGAAATTTCATACACCATACTTCGTTCTATAACATCCCATAACATATGGCGTCGGCGCCAATTAATCAACATGTTATTGCTATTGACGGCTAGCGAGCATAGACGAGCCACGTGTACAGGGAGTATACTGAAGGCATACTGTCGCATACGACTTATTTACCACTTCCGTGTCACTGAGAATGTTCTAGAACCGTACTGTGTCTGGGTGGAATATTCTATATTTTTTAGAAAATGGTTGAATAGGTAAGAGAACACTGTAGGAGGCAATAGAAGGTGTCATGCATACGAGATGCCAACAATTTTGACTATGTTGCCTAGTGTTCGATCCATCCATCAAAACGCAAGACCGCGTACGAGTTAAATAACATTGAACGAATAACTTT